ACCCACTTCGGCCTCCGCCGCCACGGGTTGTTCCCTCTGGGAGCTGCCCCCCTGGGTTTCCCTTTCCTCTCTGCCCCAGGAAACCCCCGCGCCCTCTGGCTATTCCCTGCCCTGGGAGCTGCCCCCCACCTGTGCTGTTTCCTCCCCCTCTGGGTGGCCTCTCCTTATCTGCCCAGCTGGCTGTCCCTTGCCCCAGGAACTCTTCTCCCTGGGGTATCCCCATCCCTGGGAACTGCCCCCCCATCTCCTTCCCCTGGACCTGCCCTTCACTCCACTCTTCCACCATAGCTAGATACACTACAACTTTTGACATTTTCCCCGCCCCATACCATAGTGGATTTATGTTTTCCGTATTTTACACTTTGAACTTCACGTTGAACTGAACTGTAAAAAGTGTTTGTGTGATCAGTAAAACTAGGTGCGTTCTGTGATATTTCAGCATTCAGGTGTTGAATAATGTTAGAACATGCTGCCTCTGTGTATCATTGACATTATTTTGATTAACTGGGAGAGGGGGTAGCTTTAGTGAATTTAGATGATCTCCCCACAAAAGCTTAACAGGAGGCTGCACTGAGTAACTGCAAAACAGAGCCCAGAAGAAAGAGTATTAGTATGTTAATTTTTTTTTCATTCTTTATCCCTGCAGAGACATGTCTGTCCTTTCTGGGCAGGCTAGTAAAAAAGGATCCTTTACATTGGCTCCATCTATTGTTTTACCTACTGAGACATCTCTGTCCCCAATCAAACCGGTACAGATCACAGTGTTGGAGGGACGTGACCTGGTAAAATCTTCTGAAAATCTTCTCAGTTTGTTGGGCATTCAGTATATCTGATCTATTTTAGCAAATGGGGTGGGCACAAATCTTTATACTGTAAAACCTTCAAAAATGTGGTGTGAGAATATAACACTCATAAGCAATCTGAAATGACACCAGGATCTCAGTGTAACCCATAGTTACGCAGCATGGCTCTCAGTTCCCTTGTAATGGCAGTCCATATGTAGAGTAAAGGCTCTTGCTTTGTAGTCTAAAGATTTTGAGTGCAATCCCCTCCACAACCCATCCAGCAATACTGCATTGCATGAACATGAATTTGAAATATGGCCTGCTGTGCCTCCTCCCGCGTTACTATGGGAATGTTTTACTATTTACCACAAGGTTTTCTACACAATGTGTAATATACGTTATACTCCTGTTTTGCTAATATTTTCTTTTTCTTTTTTTAATTCCACATCCCTCTTCCATCACCAACATAATACAGAGACAAATACCTATAAGAGTTTTTAAAATCTGCTCCATTGTTCCCTGATATAGGGGCAGATTCTGATCTCAGTTACAGCAATGTAAATCTCAAATAACTCCACTGAAATGTGTGCCAGTTAACTAAAAAATCTGGCCATTAAGGAAGTCTTTGTACCACATGGCATTCTTGGTTGTGATTAATGGCATCTAGAATATAGAATCATAGATTCATAGAGCTGGAACCAACCTCAGGAGGTCATCAAGTCCAGCTCCCTGCCGAAGGCAGGACCAATCCCAACTAAATCAACCCAGCCAGGGCTTTGTCAAGCCGAGACTTAAACACCCCTAGAGATGGAGATTCCACCCCCTCCTTAGGTAACCCATTCCAGTGCTTCACCACCCTCCTAGTGAAATAGATTTTCCTAATATCCAACCTAGCCCTCCCCCACTGTAACTTGAGACCATTCATTGCTCTTTGTAATTGTAACAACTCAAGAAAAAGACCTGCATGCACAATGAAAATTTCTGTTTATTATACAGCAGCAGTCAGAAAAGCAAATAAAAGATTAGAATGCATCTGGCTATCTGTTTAGGCATTTATACTGTAATATCAGAAAACCTCTCATACATTAATAGATTTATCCTTGATACATCTTTAAGCAGTAGGGAAGTATATAAAGGAATGGGATGGGAAATAATACTGAAAATATATAATGTTATTATAAACAACAAGGAGTCCTATGGCACCTTAAAGATTAACAAACATATTTGGGCATAAGCTTTTGTGGGTTGGAGTCCTCTTTGACAGATGCATGAAGTGGAAACTTCAGTCTGGCATCAGGACACAAAAGCTTATGCCTAAATACATTTGTTAATGTCATTATATAAATCAATGGTACAACCTGAACTAGAACACTGTCTTCAGTTCTGGTTTACCCCTCTTAGAAAGAAAATAGTAAGTGTAGAGAGGGCTAAGTGGGGGAGGAGAGGGCCAAAGTAGCCTGTAAGAAAAAACTTGCAGATGAAGGTACATAGAAGAAATTCTGGATATTTTTTTGTTAGAATAAGAGTGGGCACGAGAAGAGAATACAGTATAGTGAGTGGTACTGAAAAGGTAATTTCTATTTAGCCTTTCTCTTCATGGATTAGCAAGGAAAATTTTTTTTAAAACTGAAAAGCAGCCAATTTAAAACTGATCAAAGGCTATATTGATAATACAATGCACAAAACAATCATGGAACTCATTACTACAAAGTATCATTAGGCAAAATTGCTTAGCAGGATTCAAATAAAGATTTGGCTTATCTGCATAAGGACTAAAGAAACATTTGGAGGGGCTATTGCTCTATCGACCTTTGTGATTCAGGGCATAAGCCAAACTCTATCCTGAGAGGTTAGGAAGAACTTTTCCCCCTGTGATGAGGTTGCATCGTAATTGCCCATTTCATAATTTCTTGCACTGTCTTTTGGAAACATCTGCTCCTGGCCACTGTCAGAGAAGGACTGGTGAGCTAGGTGGACCACTGGTCTGATCTGGTATAGAATTTCCTATGTTCCTGTGTTTAAGAACACTGGCAGAAAAATACTAAAAAACTGTGCCCTTCTTTAAAACTACTTGTGTAAAGTTAATGAGTAAGAATTCAAATCTTTTTCCAAAAAGCTTGCTACGATTCTCACTAGGTTTTAAATTCTTCAGCCATACAGTATATTGGAATTTCACATTAATGCAGCCATGCCACTTGTGAGCTTCCTCCTCAGTTGTTTATAAAAATCAGAACCTTTCTTGAAATTATAATTATTATGTTGCCCCTTTGGATGAAAGTCAATGTATTTACTTTTGTCTCTGTCCTCCATGTTGATGAAGGCTATTAGTTCTAAATGCCCCTAACTCAGCTTGGGTGTTCATAATCTCTGGGTGCTGCAAAGGGATACAATGGAGAAAAGTTTTCAAAGAAGGTGAAATCTTAGTGTGACCAGAATTGTTCATCATAAGCCCATTCTTATATGTGCAGTAACTGAAAAAAAATCCTTCTGTATATTATTTTCAAAAACAAGCATTCCTTAACTCAGCCAACTTCTGTGGACAGTCTGCTTGTGAGCAGTTTGAAATCTGCTTTTTGCTATAGAATAAAATAATTAATCTATTGTTGGTCTATGTTTGACAGAAAGGTGCCAAAGGAGACGCTCCTGTGACCTATGTGCGTGCAGAGTATAATGGTGTTATTCTGGGTGACTCCTTGAAAATTGATGGTTCTTCAGATGGCACAGTGAAATATAACTTCAGCACTAGCTTTGAATACAACTCTGATGGGCCAAACTCTCTAGATGACATTGCACACAAACCCTTATTTTGTAAGTAACTGTCACTCTAACTGTACATTCAGATTTGCCCAGAATAAATTACTAGAGTATTGACAAGAACTCTGGCCACGGGGAACTCTGCTACTCCATCCCTATCTGCTCCTAGCAGGAGTCACTCATTAGAACAGTGGTACTCACAGTGCAGAGAAAGATGTAAGCTAAGTTCACTTCTCAGTGGAAAATGAATGCTGAAGTATGGATGAGTAGCAGTGTTATGTCTAATTAAATTCAAGTTTTTTGAATTGGGCAATGGAATTGTCACATATTAAGCAGATGTATTTATCTCCACTCCTGGGCACAAAGAGATAATCATGTTCTCACTCCTCTCGGGGGCTACATCTAGACTGCAGGCTTCTTTCGGAAGAAGCTTTTCTGGAAGAGATTTTCTGAAAAAACTTCTTCTGAAAAAGAGTGTCCACACTGCCAAAGCGCACTGAAAAAGCGATCTGCTTTTTCAAAAGATAGCGTCCACACTGAATGGAAGCTATATTGCATTTAAGCTGTGATTACTATGAATGGAGTGGCCATCAGGGTACCTAAATGTATCTAATTTTTCCTCTTTCCTCTTCTTTCAAAAGAACTCCCCTTCCCCATCCATACATGCCTTTTTCCAAAAGAGCTCTTTCAGAAAAAGACTTGTAGCAAGAGGTTTAAATGTCGGAAAAAACCCTCCGTTCTTTCTTTTTTTTTTTTTTTTGAAAGAATGCAATTGCAGTGTGGACGTAAGTGAAGTTTTTCGGAAAAACAGCTATTTTTCCGAAAAAAAATCTGTAGTGTAGACATAGCCGAAAGGATCTGCACTTGCCTTTGTACTTGTGTCTTCTGTTGCTTTTGCCATGTGTAGTTTCATGCCCTTAGCAGGGGGTATTAATGTCCACAAAAGAAATACACGTGATTGTTCAAAAAATTCTAATTGTTTTTTAACTGGGGTCCTAGTGTTAGCAGTTAGAGAAGGTGGGGGCAAAGTAGCGCTCCCTCCTGGAGCATTGCAAATCAGCTGTTTGTGTTGCTCCAGGAAGGAGGAGGAAGAGTGGGGGTTCCCCGTACTGTCACAAAGCAGCTGTTCATGGCGCTCAGGGAGGAGTGGGGACTCCCTCCCTGTAGGAATGCCACGAAGCAGCTCTTTGTAGTGCTCCTGGAGTGAACCCTGAAGAGCCACAGGCTACATCTCAAAGAGCCAGAGGCGGCTTGTGAGCCGTGGTCTGAGTATCACCGCATTAGAGAATGGAGTAGAAGCATTTTCTGTGAGAAACTCTCAGCTGCTCTGTTCTCGTCCTCTTCCAGCAGGATTTGCTTGAAAATGAAATCTGAGCATTAGCTGTGGCAAACATTCAGCTACTCTATTCCCTTCAGACTCTGGGGAATCAAGCAGAAGTGCTGGCTAAGAGCTAATACACTCTTCAAGCACCCTGAATGAATACACTGTTTTCAGCTGCTGTTTTATAGATGATTCAGAAACATCATCAGATTCTGTGTATGTTCTCCCATCAGTGACTGTGATTGAAGTTTTACCAAAGGAGAAGAAGCAGAAGGACGAGAAGACTATGGCTCTTGGTCAGGCTGTTGTAGACCTTCTGCCTCTGCTGGAAGGTGCAATGTTGAATTCATATTGCATTCACGTTGATCTCTTGCTCTCACCGAACTTCTTTGCTGTAGCTTCACTTCTATACCTAAGATAGTCTTTAGAAAGTTGGATTATGTGGGTGGCATATAGCACACGTTTTCTATTCAGGGAGCTATTTCACTAGTGGGGAGCTTCAGACTTTATGCTGATTCTGTCTTTATTTGTTCCCAGGACAGTGTTCATTTAGGGCAATAGTTCCACTGCATCCAGTTCCTGGCTCTTCACTAGAGAGCCTTCGCCCAGATGCCAAGGTATTTGGAAAGTCCCAGAGCTATTTGATTCGAATATGCAATTATAGGCTACAGTATATGTTACAATAATACATATAAAATGTGAGGCCTGGTTCCTCTCTCGTTGATTACAATAGGCTCTATAAATGCTAAAAAGTACTGTACAAAAAACTACATTGAAAGAGCATTAATGCTGCAAAATGAAGAACTGAAAAATCAGAAAATGGCATAATTAAGGATGCCCATGTAACCTTAACTCCATCGCTTGGTGCAAACAAAATAAAAAAGACCGTGTAATATTTTATCACATACTATTGTTACTGTAAGATCCCTGCCTTATTCAGCACACTGGTTGAATGATGTTCAGTGAATGAAGCAATGATACATAGTGAATGTGGAAATGTGTCTAATTTTAATCCAGATTCTGTTTGCTATTACCAGTATAAATTAATTGAAATCAGTGGACTTTAAATATATACTGGTATATCTGAAAGCATATATCTGTAGACAGGTCAAATCGGTATGTGATGAATGAAGCAAGTGTCCATTCACACTGAACAGTGGAGATAAATATTCAAAAGCTACTTCATTCACTGCATGTTATCCATCTTATATGTGATCTTGTGATTAAATACTGTGTAATGATGTATGTGGATAAAGGCTTAGTTGAGGTTCTATGTGCAACCTTAGCTTTGGCATCTCTTGAATATTGAGTGATTCATTTTGCACCCTTCCTGTTTTTTCAACACGGGTTTTGAAAGTAACTTTTCATTTGTTTATTAAACAGTGACCATGTGAGACTGGATTCCTGCCCTGAGAAGCTGTATTCTAAATAGGGAAACATTACAGTTTGAATGCAAATCATTAAATTACCATCAAATTTATTTAACACACAGGAATACCCATTTCTGCATTTGAATCAATGAATAAAATAATATTGTAGATTCCCAACTTAGGCAGACCTCTATTTGAAACCTCTGTAAAGACAGATTCATGGTAACTGTTTTGTAACTTTGCTGTTTCCAGTGGAAAGTCACGTCAGTTTGCTTTTGTCTTACAGTGTGGTCTCGAAGTGGCGGTGTCCATCCAAGAGTCCCTGCTTTCTACATCGCAGCTTTCAGGTGGAAACCTCCTCAGGGTTACATTAGAGGCTGCTTATTCTGTCCCTGAAGTGTTTGTTCCCACAGGACCCCAGCAAAACTACATGGTTGGCTTGCAAGTACCAACTATTGGAGAGGTGGGGAACTGTCAATGAACTTTTTGTATATGTCCTACGTAGATCTTTGCTTCTGTGGTTGAGGTTTCTAAGATGATAATCTGCATGAGCAATGGATGCCTGTGCCTATTATGTGGGTACGTCCAACTGTTTCTGTGGCCACAGAACTATACTGATATTTGTCAATGATTTTTCAGTTGTTTGTGTATGTGTAAGTATAGTTCTGCAACTTGGATCAAGCCTGTTGCTCCCTGATCTATGTATCTGCATGGCAACTCCCATGTGCATGTGTGATGAAATGAGTGGGATTTTTTTGTCTCAGATTATGCAATTTGATGCTTGTATTTTGTAGTTTCTATACCTATGTGGACTGGAGCATGTTTTCCAAGTTGCGTTGATAGAATTCTGCTTTTTACTTGTTGGTCACCCCTTGCTATAGCAAAAGGATGAAAATCCTTTCTCTGTGCCTCTCTAGAAAGAGTACCCCTTGATGTTCAAGAATGGGACCCTGAAGCTTGGTGGTGAAAAAGAGCCAATCCCCCGTCCAAAAAAATGGCCCATTAGCAACACTGTGGCACCAGGAGCTCAAAACATTCCAGACTCTTTTATTGTTGGAGGCCCCTATGAAGAGGAGGATGGAGAGCTCAACAAAACAGAGGTGAGAAAGAAATGACCTTGAAGCTGCCAGGAGAGAGCTGAAGTGTGTAGCAAAATGAATGACTGAAGGTACAGGATGGAAGGCAGGGTCAGGAGGAGGAGCCCTGTGATTTGTCTGAGCACCATCACAAGCCTGGCTGCTAGTCACACAAGTAAATCTAACTTTAACTGGCCCCAGAACTAACCATTACGACCTCATTTTGCTCAGATGCTGATTGGTTCTGTGTGGAGTTGAGTGTTGCAATAAGTTCTCCCCTCAAAGGGGATAAGCATTTTACCGCTAAACTGGGCACCACCCATCAGATGGAACATAGTGCACGGGCTCAGGGTGTGCTCTGAACAGCTCACTCTTTCTCCTAGGACAGGGAAAATAGGATTCAGGCAGAGACCATAAAGAAGAGAATTGTTTGGGACTTGGAGAGGCGCTGTTACCTGGACCCTGCAGCAGTACTCAGGTAAGAAAACAAAGGAAAATTCCCTGAACAGAGAGTAATGGAGATGAGGAGGAACATATGAATTTCCAGAGTATGCCAGCCCCATGATTCATTTACTTCAGTATCCTGTGTCTAGCAGTGACCAGCATCAGGTGCTTTTGAGGAAGGTGCAATAGAACCCGCCACAGATGTGGGGTCATCTGCCTAATCCCTCATTGAGCTTGTTTTAGATCCTAGGCATGCACTCTTGTATCCCTAATCCCTTCCAGTACTTTTTTTTTAAGCTATTATTATTTTTAGCTATTTTGTCTTTTGTTAACTACTAGAAGACTTATTTGGCACTGTGAGCTCTGTAATGACCTGGACATCGAAAAAGAATCCTACAAAAAGTGGAAACTGGGACAATTGCTAAAGACGAGTGTCAAAGAATAGCAGAAGCACATAAGGACAAAATCAGAAATTGAGTTACGCCTCGTAAGGGTCATAAAATGCAAGAAGAGGTTCTATAATGCATTGGGGCAAGAGAAAAGTAAAGGAAATTGTAGGTCCGCTACTTGGTGGGAAAGAGAGCTAATAATAGATAGCATCAAGAAAGCTGACATGTTTAATATTTTTTTGTTTCAGTCTTCCCCAAAAACATTAATTATGATCAGATTCTTAACACAGTAAATATTAACAACAAAGAGAAGGAACATAAAATGGAAGAGGGCAAAAACAAGCTAAATAATATTTAGGTAAATTAGATGTATTCCGATAATCAGGGCTTGACAAAATGCACCCCAAGAATATTTAAGAAACTAGGTGGAGCAGCATCAGAACCATTAATTATCCTCAAGAACTCCTGGAGGATGGGTGAGGTCCCAGAGGACTAGAGAAGGACCTACCTTCAAAAAGGGGAACAGAAAGGACTAGGGAATTATAAACCAGTCAGCCTAACTTTAATACTTAGAACGACACTGGAACAAATTATTAAAGAACCAGTTGTAAGCACCTGCAGTATAAAAAGGGTATAAATAACAGCCAACATGGATTTGTCATGAGAAATCATTCCAACCCAACCCAGTTTCCTTCTTTGACAAGGGTTACTGATCTATTGGGTAGAGGAGAATCAACAAATATGATTTATCATGATTTCAATAAAGTTTTTTATGCAGTCCCATGTGATGTTCTCATAAGCAAACTAGGGAAATATGGTCTAGATGAAATTATCATAAAGTGGTTGAAAAAACTACTCAAAGAGAAGTTATCAATGTTCACTGTTAAATGTGAAGACATATCTACTGGGGTCCAATGAAGACCTGTCTTGGGTTGTGTACTATTCAATGTTTTCATAACTTAGATAGTGGAGTGTAGAGTATGCTGATAAACATTTGCAGATGATATCAGGCTGGCAGTGGTAATAAGCACTTTGGAAGATAGAATTAGAATTAAAAATAGTCTTGAGAAAGTGGAGAATTGGTCAGAAGCAACACGATAATATTTAATAAACACAATCGCAAGATGCTTCCCTTACACACAACTACAAAATGAGGAATAGCTGGGTAGGCAGTAGTGCTGCTGAAAAGGATCTGGGAGTTATACGGGGTCATACTGATTGTGAGCAAACTATTATAGGTGCAGTTGTAAAAAGAGTTAACATCATTCTGAAATGTATTAACTAGAGTATAATAAGCATGACCTGGGAAGAAACTTTTCCATTATACTTGGTGCTGGTGAAGCCTCAGCTGGAGTACTGTGGTCAGTTTTGGGTGCCATGCTTTAAGAAGGATGTAGACAAGCTGGCGAGAGTCCAGAGAAGAGCCAAAAAATGGTTAAAGGCTTAGAAAACCTGACTTGTGCGGAACAGTTTAAAAAAACCTGGATATGTTTGATCTTGAGGAAAGAAGACAGAGAGAGAGAGCCTGATAAGTCTTCAAGTAAGTTAAAGACTGGTGTAAAGTGAGCAATTGTTCTTCATGTCCACAAAAAGTAATGGGCTTAATCTGCAGCAAGGGAGCTTTAGGTTAGATATTAGCAAAAACTTTCAACCATAAGGATAGTTAAAATTTGTGGAATCTCCATCATGGGAGGTTATTAAGAAGTTAGACAAACACCTTTCAGGGATGGCATAGGTATTCTCAGTCCTGCCTCAGCACAGGGTGATAGACTAGGCAACCTCTTAAGGTCCCTTCCAGCCCTATATGTCCAAAATTCTATCCTATGGTTATAGCCTTTATGATTTCACAATTGAATGCTGTGTTGTCACGACCAAAGCACTGTGACTTACGATGGAGAATGAGCCGTAGGAGCTGATGAACTCTTAAGGAAGAACATTCCAGTTTTCATGCAATTGTTCCTATTAATAAAAACTGAAAGTTAGACTAGAACATTTCACAGGAGATGTTGGTAGATGTATTTATTTATTTATTTAGACAATCATTCTTCCAGGTTATTTCTACTACAAATGAGTAGCCTCACTTTCCCTAAGTGGCACAGGGGAATCTCTGGACTGTTTTTCTGTATTTCTCAATTGTCTCTTTTGGTGTTGCAGTTTACAGAAGCGCATTGCGGAATGTCGGTACTGGCCCGTGGAGATCACCAGGGTCCCTGTGGTTACCTCCACCAAAGGGAAATCTAGCAAATTAGACAAGGTAAATATGCCTAGAGATTTGTATGGATGCATATGATTGTCTTTTGGTGCTATTTTCCTTTAGTGAGTGTGCTTAGCTAAGAGCATTTTCTAAATGGGAGAGGTGAGTTAGGGAGTGCTCGAGGCTTTGGTAAGGGAGTGATCAGCCTCACTCCGCTGTCAAACAAAGAAAAACATTTCAAGTTACAAGGCACAAATATTTTGTTAGTTTTCTTCAGTACCATGGCAATTGAAGAGGGATTGGTTGGGAAAGAAACTGCTGGGGAAAGCGATTAGCTAATCTTTCCATTGGCCAATGGGTTCCTTGAGCGGATGTTCAGGGAATCTAAACTGGCCATCAGATTTTGCAGTGATGACTAACTGTGTTCTCCTTGCCCCAATTGGAAACTAAGCTCCTCAGAACTCTAGCAGGACATTCTGTTTCCTAATCAGATGGTGAGTGCTTTTAGAAACCAAGTGCCAGGATACAGCCCAGCAGGAACGGAGCACTTGGCTTCACTAAGAAGATTTGTCCCAGACCTATGGAGATTGGAATAAGGAGGGTATGGAAGAATTACAGAATATTCTTCGAAGCTGGCACAGCTTTATGCCCATTGGAGAAACTTCAGTGACAGGATAACATTGACTATTTAAGCACATAATGTATTTAGGTGGCCTTTGCTTTAATAGGAATTGATGCAGTATGCAGAAGCCTGCAGAAATGGCCTTAAATCCATGCAAACAGCAGTCCTCAGAACAACCTTTTAGCTAAGTCATGCCTGGTCTTGTTCTGCATTTTCAGGGAGATGATGATGGACAGATTTTTTTCCATGGTGTGGCATATGTCAACATGGTGCCATTGCTGTATCCTGGTGTGAAGCGCATCCGAGGGGCTTTCCGTGTGTTTCCATACCAAGACAGTGAGGTGTTTGCAAAGGTGAGAATGGGCTTCCTCTGTGCACTGCAATACAATCTCCCCGTCCAGCTGTGTTCATGCACCACATGCTTGGCAGCAGTCAGGGCTATCAGAAAATTGCCTTTAAAATAAAGCTGGCCCTGAGCCATCAGGGAGAAATAATGTGACATGGTTTTTGGAGCAGTTTCCTAAAAGAGATTTATTTCCTAAGCCACAGTATGAGGCAGACATCCTGAGCAGTGGGGCTTGGGGACTGAAGGGTCCCTTAGCACATGACTTGTCTGCAGTCCTTTCTCTAGCATCAGCTAATCAGTTTTATAAAAATCCTCTTCCTCCTTATGCCAGGTGTTTTCCCTACCAAGTCCTAATATTGCTGAGTGAGGAATATCCTCCCTAGGAAAATATAGTGGCTACTTCAGTGTAATAACTACCAGGGATGCTCAGAAGAGTTTAATTTATTAGAAGGACCACACTGGGGCTGTAATTCATACAGTTTTATCTATTTTAGTTTCTCTGCATCCCTCCCACTCCCGACCCTGTTACGTCAGTAAATATTAACATTCATGTTTCCCACAGTAATAATAGAATGTTGAACTTGTTTCAATGTTTGTCCCAAAGCAGGAGCGATGTGCACAAGGGTAAGTAATTTGGTTTGACTGGTCCTTTCATTTACCTTAACTCAGGGGTCTCAAATTCCTGGCTCACAGGCCATCCCTGGCTGGAGTGATTGCACAATCTGGCCCGGGATTCTTGGTGGCCCGGGAGAGGAGGCTGTCCATTACTAGTCCCCAAGCTCCACCCCTTCCCGCTATTTCCCTGCCCATTCTCCCGCCCATGGTACCCCATTCCTGAGGACACGGCTTCAAGGATCACGGGGGTAGCCTGGCACCGCATGGCTGCAGCAGTTGTACCTCCCCACGGCATCAGGAGCCTCAGGGAAGCAAAGCAAGTGCACTCGCCCAGTGCACTCCACTTCCCCTGCCACAGGGAGTGCAGGGGGTGCATCTCCCTGCTGTTGCATGACACTAAGCCCTCCCCTCCCCCCATCATCCCTGAAGCCACATCCTCGGGGACAGAGAGCCAAGGGGAGAAGGCTGGGTGATGGGGGAAAAGGTTGGGCTTGGGAGCCAGTAATGGAAAGGTCTCCCCCTGGCCTGCCTAAGTCCCAGGCCAGATTGCACAATTGCTTTTATAGGCAATGGCCCGTGGGCCAGGAGTTTGAGACCTGCTGAATTAAGGCAAGAAGGATGGGGATGTCCAGTCTCCCTCAAGCTGCATTTCTTTTATTGCCTCTCTTTCATAACTTCCTTTCACTTCCTTCTTTTTCAGACTAAGTGTCAATTCAGCACTTTACGTGATCTTGGGCATCAAACCAACATGAACAAATTAGGGCCAGTGATTGCAGCAGCCAGCTCCCCTCATTCAAAAGCTATTCCCAGTAGGAACCAGAAAGAGGATAAAATGGCCAAAGAGAAGGATGCTCCAAGAAAGGTATGGGCTAGAGCAGCGTTTCCCAAACTGTGGCCCGTGGCCCAGTACCAGTCCTTGGGAAAAAAAATACCGGGCCTCAGAAAAAATTTTGTGAGAGCCCGCCTCGCTGCCCACAACCCCCAAGATAAATGCCGCGCTGAACTCCCAGTGTCAACAGAGGTAGCACGGGCTTCCTGCAGGTCGGGGGGCAGTTCTGCAGCTGCGCACCAGGTCCTGCAAGTACGCGGGCTGCTCTCCCTTCTTCCCCAACAGCCGGCGCAGTACCTAAAACGCTGGTTCATCGTGCGCTGGGGACTTTGTTCCCCTGCTGCCTTCCTGCGCGCGGGGGAGTGGGTGGGGATCCGGGACTGCGCCGGCTCCAGCTGCTCGGGCTGCGCGTGCTGCTGTGGAGAGTGGAGGTGCAAGGCGCACACTGTCCGAGCAGTTGGGGCAGGCGCGGTCCAGGACTCTCCCTGTCCCGTCCCCCCACGTGGGAAGGCAGCAGGGGAATAAAGTCCTCAGAGCGCCAGCTCCAGCTGCTTGGGCAGCACGCACTGCCGTGGGGAGCAGAGAAGTGAGGCGCGCGCTGCCCGAGCGGTTGGGGCTGGCTCAGTCCAGGACTCCCCCTCCCTCTGCACAGGAAGGCATCAGGCGTGCAACGGACCAGTGTGTCAGGTACCGCGCTGCTGTTTGGGGGACAGGGGAACAATCCACGCATTTCTTGGGCCTTGGCAGCTACAGGATCCCGAGGTATCGGTCCTTGTCCCCTTCCTCTCCCCAGACCCCCACAAGTACCCTGCCCCAGCACCCACAAGCACCCTGTCCCCTGCCCCAGCACCCACAAGCACCCTGTCCCTTGCCCCAGCACTCATTGGCACCCTTCCCCAGAACTCTGTTCCAGCACCCACAAGGACAGTTGTGGCCACATTTGTGAGGTTTGAGGGATTTGGTGTGGGGGTTTTTTTTTTGTATGGCCGCGACTGACTTTTCTGTGGGCTAAAGTTGGCACTGGGGGCTTTGGGAGGCCAGAAACAATTTATTTGCATATTCATCATTTGCTTAAGCTCGTGAATGGATTTACTGGTCCCCAGTATCAAAAAGTTTGGGAACCCCTGGGCTAGAGAGAAATTCACACATGGTGCTGAAGCTTTTGGGCCATGCTTGTGTGACCCGTGATGCCTGAGGCAGCCCTCCCTGAAAATGCCACAGTCAGGGCAGGCTGCTAAGGGGAGAGTAAATACTCCCCAAACTGGCAGCTAGCACTGAAGTTAAACTTCTCAATCAGTCACAAACTGTGCTTCTGATCTCCCCCACTGGGTATCAAGAGACAAAAGGAGAACACACACAGCCCAGTTCTCTGGCTCCTATCAGCATCTAGGTCACTTTCTCAAATGTGGCAACCAGGGGCTGCTCCTGGCACCACAGTCTTCTGGATGGCTATTTGGCGGGGGGGAAAGTAGCACCCCTGCCCTAATCCCTGGATGGGCTGTTGAACAGCTTCGGCAGTGCTGATGCCAGTCTGTCTGGGGTTATCACCCCGAAACACAGCACAAATTTGGAAATACAAATATGCCATACACAGCTATAACTCACCATGCAGAGGTGATGCAAACATATAAACAAGATTATTATACTTGGCAAATGATAACATAAGAATGGCTGTACTGGGTCAGACCAAAGGTCCATCTAGCCCAGTGTCCTGTCTTCCTACAGTGGCCAATGCCAGATGCCCCAGAGGGTGTGAAAAGATCCCTCTCCTGTCACCCATTTTCCAACCTTTACAAACAAAGGCTAGGGACGCCATTCCTATCTATCCTGGCTAATAGCCATTGATGGGTCTATTCTCCATTAATTTATCTAGTTCTTTGTTGAACCCTGTTAAAGTCCTGGTCTTCACAATATCCTTTGGCAAGGAGTTCCACAGGTTGACTGTGTGCTGCGTGAAGAAAAACTTCCTTTTGTTTTGTTTTATTTTGTTTGTTTTAAACCTGCTATCTATTCATTTTATTTGGTGACTCCTACTTCTTATGTTATGGGAACAAATAAATAACTTTTCCTTATTCACTTTTTCCATACCTGTCATAATTGTATAGACCTCTATCATATCCCCCCTTAGTCCCTCTTTTCTAAGCTGAAAATACCTAGTGTATTTTTAATCTCTCTTCATATGGGACCGGTTCCAAACCCTGACCATTTTTGTTGCCTTTTTCTGAACCTTTTCCAATGCCAAGATATCTTTTTTGTCATGAGGTGACCACATCTGTACACAGTATTCAAGATGTGGGCGTACCATGGTTTTAGATAAGGGTAATAAGATATTCTCTGTCTTATTCTCGATCTCTTTTTAAACGATTTCTAAGATTTTCACAGATACCTTAGATGGCATCTGATCAGATTCCTCAGTATTTTATAATAGCGGTACCATTAATATCACAAAGGGCCCCACATATTCCATACATTGGCACAGCTTGTGTAAGAGAAAGCAGGTTTGTGCTGGAGCTCAGAAACTTGGGAACACTGGATGTTTTAGGACAGAAGGAAGGCAGGAGGCCAGCGAGTATTCTTTTTTTCTTGAATGATTAAAAATCAGTCGTCACTTTGGAATTTCCTAATACAAGATGCATGAACCAAATCTAACATTGCAAATGGCTTGGCTGTTTAATATTCATGGGTTTCATACCTGTAGCACAGTAAGCAGGTAGTAAGCTTCTTCCTTAGTGCTCTCTTTGTGTCACTGAGGCTGGATTAATTGTGGGAACCGTGAAGAGTGTTGAATACTGAACAATATACATCTTCTTTCTCTTCCTAGATGTCTGTTACACTAAAATCTCAGATGTCAGAGATTACTATAGACACTGAAGCAGCACCATGTCAGAACCTGGAAGGACAGGTAAATTGTGCTTTAAACAGATGGAAAGAACATGTAGACTGGCAGTGTGTAAATTCCCATAGCCCAGATTCTAACATCATTTACTTAACTGGCTTTGGTTAGGAGAGGTGAGGACTGAGGGCTTTCACCTTTTGCAGCTACTATAGTGAAATCTCTCCAGGGACATCTGTACACACAGATTCAAGTGGGGTATTTCCCAAAATATCTGGGACTGAATTTAGGAGGGTTCTTCAGTAGTTTTCATTTTGACTTCCTTCTAAAAAAATGCACTGGTTGCACACACTAAATCTTGGAGGAGACTGAATCTCCAAACCAGTTCAATCCTCTAACTGGATTTTGCTGTGACATAAAATCCTGAGGGCAGGTTAGAAAACAAGCTGCTACAGTATGATTCCAATAAACATCTGAAACTCTATACTAAGGCTGCAGTCATGACAACAGTGACACAAGAGAGCAATATTTGTCTTCACAGCAATATGTAGATGCAGGAACATTCCTGGTGATGGAAATAGAGCTGGCCAAGGCCTTGGTACCAAAACGATTGCCAGAGGAGCTCGCTAGCAGGTGCGTAAAGGGGCGACTGTAACACTGGAGTCAGGGTTTTAATTTAAGCTCCTCAGGTCAGGGATTGTTTTGTAATGTATCTGTTAAATGCCATGCATACTTGTGCTGTAAAAATAGTAATGGGCCTGATCCAAAGTGCATTGAAATCAACAGGAAGAATTGGGCTTTGGATCAGGCCCATTACGAAGAGAGAACTGGCGTGGGGTTGGAAGACACAAAGATTCACATTTCATTCAGCCTGGTTCTTTTTAATGAATAATGTACTAAATGGGAAAACAACGAGTAGTCCTGTGGGGTCCCCTCCTGGTCCTGGATCACTTAAAGGGGCACGGGCTGGCTACGGTGCCCGTGCCAGGTACAAGCCTGCCAGCACC